CAATTTATTTTTCTTAATTTTAAAAGTGGCATGATCGAAGTATTTAGAATTTCAGTTAGGTACATAAAGATACCAATATTCCACAACAACCCATAATAATTTGAAACACCACAAGACATCACAAATATCAATCAAGTGCCAATTAACCATATACTACACAAAAATTTAACTATTATCATATATCAAGTTATGTATTCATGCATGTTTACCCACGTATAACCTTAATTCAAACAATACTATTAAAGACCTACTTAATTTCTATGTTTTCCTTAAGCTACTTAATCCCAAAATTTCTTTGCTAATTAATTTAGGATCAAGAAAACATATCAGTTTGGAAGATTTCAAGTATTCAGCACAACGCCCCTTAACTTAATTCTGGAAATTACAGTTATGACCCCAAAGTTCAAGACTCACACATGCAATTAACCTAAAAGTTCAAAATCCATATTTTCACGAAAATCAACCCTTAACTTATCTGAAATTTTGATCAATGCAGGAAAATCCAGTTAGGAGTTATATTATGCAGATTTTTCGAAAATTACATATTTCACCCTAGACTCTCTAGATCTATACATGCAAGACCCTTAGAAATTCCCAAAAATCCTTTTTCTTACAAAACTTTTTAAAAACTGACATTGTCCTTTACTAAGTGCTGAAAAAACAGATTTGGAAATCCATTCAAAACTATCTTCCCAAAATTACAGATTTGACCGAAAATTCTTTTGAATTACACATGCAACCACACTATGATTTCAAAATCACCTTTTTCAAGAAGAACCCCTAACAAATCCGGAATCCTTGTTCAATATATGCAGAAAAACGAAGCTAAAATTTTTATTTATGCAACAACTTCGAAAATTCTATTTTTCACCCCAAAACCTTTAGATCCCATACATGCAAGACCACTAGGAGTTCAAAAATTACTTTTTCTTGTAAAACTTTCCTAAATCTGGAATTTTCGTTCAATAAATGCTAAAAACCAGTTTTGAAAACTCATATGAATCTGACTTCTCACAAATTACAGATCTGGCCCAAAAGTATGCAGATTTACACATGCAACCCCAAAAGTTTTCCCAAATTAATTTTCTTCACGATTTTCGAAATAACTAAAATTTCTATGAAAGCCATTAACTCAAATCTACCATTTATGACCTCTGATCATACATGCAATGATATAAAGCATATGAACTAACAAAAAGAAACCATTAAATGTAAGAACAACATAAAACAAGAATTAGGGGTGTCTTTTAATTTAATTTCGAAATTATGTTCTTGATACTTGATACCTCCATTTGCAGCAAGGATTTCGATTCCTTACCTCAAAAATAGAAAGGAACAAAAAGCTAGTTGAAAAGGGGAAGGTTCTTGAGAGCCTTCAAAGGAAACCGGAAGTTAGAAGAAGAAAAGGAACGAAGAAGAAAGAAGGGATTGAGAACTCGAATGGCAGCTCTTACCTCTTCAAGTATGGAGATTCAACCAAGCTACTTTGATGGAGAAGGACACGGTATAGATTTCAAGATGAGAGGTGTTTTCACTAGTGAAAGGACACCATGTATTTATAGTATTTTTGGAGTATTCAAGGGCAAGGGTTAGATAGGGAATTTTTATTTTTGGCTTGAGAAGTATCTTGCTGATTTAGGGGGGTGGTTCGAGCTTGATGGAGCTGATGACAATGATGGTTTCGGTGGTTTGAAGAAAAGAGAAATATAAGGGAGAGAGAGAGGGGTGAGGCAGCCGAAATGAGAGAGAGAGAGAGAGAAGGAGACTCTTGGCCTTCTAATAGGCATGCTTGAGGTGGAGTGTGGGATTGGCCTTAGTAGGGGTTAGGCTAGGCTTTAGGATTATTATTTTTATAATTATTTAATAATCCCCCCCCCCCCCCCCCCCCCCTAAACACACATACATACATATACGGCACACACATATATATGTACATATATATTATGTATTATGATAATTATGCTAAGTCCTAGTCATGCAAGTATGATTCACCCGCACACATATGCACAAAAGGCCACATATAGAACACTAATCTAGTACATAATAATTCATGTATAGCCCTACAATTAGCGGAGATTTAGTATCTAAGTGATGTGAGATTTGTTGTTTAGTAAGTATCGTGTTTTGAAAACGTGGGGTGTTACAAAACGGCGCAAGAAAAAAACTCGTGAACAAAACAAAATGAAAGAGGAAAGAGACCCATTTTCGAAGAATGGTGAGGGAAAAAAACAAGATTTGATTTTTTTTTTCTAGCCACATATTTAGAAGATGTTTGATGGTTTGATGTAGGATCTGTGAAAGACGTTTCTCATATTATTTTTTGAAACATGTTTTTTGTTTTATGTGACTGCAGTAGTACATGCGGTATTAAACAATAGTATTGCTAGTGTGGTTGAATGGTGTTGAAATAAGAGATGAAAAGGACTAGTATTGCTAGTCATGTAGTGCAATAAATGCATCAACATAGTACGCTTACGTCTAGAATCAAGTATATTTAGTTCAGTAGTGAAGTACATGTTGTCTATGTGAGTATCATGTCGGCATTTTGTGGCATTTTGAACCCTAAACGCAATACCATTGTTCATTAATCTTAAAATAGTCATTTAAAATATATTTTATGTCCCTCTCACACGCAATAATCACTAAATTTATTATGAAATTGGTACAATTCAATTCATTATAATTAGGGTTAACTACAAAAAATCCCCTAAACTTTAGACATTTTTACACTTTACCCCCTGAACGCAAAAAAGTTGCACGAGCATACCTGAACTTGTCAAATTATTGCACCGGCGAATAAAAAGTCCATTTATAGCAAAATATCTGCCTGAATTGCACACGTGCAACTCACACGTGACAATGGAAGGGCAATTTCGTTAATTCATAAGATTTTCAGATAAAAGAATTAAAAAAAAAAAAAAAAAAAAGCCACCCATCATCTTCTTCGTCTCCCTCTTGCTACAAAACAGGGGAAGCAGGATTTTTCACACCACCATCTCTCTCCACCGCCGCACCACCACCTGAAATTATCATATCAAATTACTAAAAATTCAATATGAAAAATCCCTAATCTCAAAAGAAAAAGAAAAAAAAAAGAAAAAACAAATAAATAGGGAAAATGGAAAGAGAAAAGGCTTGCTCTGTCTTCTTCCTCTCTACGGCGCTACATCACCACCACCACGTCTGCTCCACCACCGCACCACCACCACCATGTCTGCTCCACCACCGCACCACCACCACCACCAAATCTGCCACCAACATTGCCACCTATACTAACGCCTAATCCTCCACTGACTCCACCTTCAATTCCTCCACTATCACCTTCAACTCCACCACCAATTCCTCCAACAACACCTCGTCCAAATGTACAATTCCTCCGCCTATACCCAACAAGCCCTCGCGACGCCGCCGCGGCCAATTTCTTTTCCAAAATTTAGGGGATTTTTTGCAGTTAACCATTATAATTATGGTACAATTTATTCTACATAAAAGTAAATGCATTACACCGGTGATGCACGTGTTGTACATTCATACAGTGCGCTTCTTTCAATGAAAAAGTAAATGGTGTCCGTTAATATGGTACACTTGCCTTATAGATATTATTTTGGGACCAATGCAACAATAAAATCATTTTATGAGGCATTCCTTTATTATATGACTAATTACATTAAATGAGATAACGTGGGAATCCATTAACATCAACTATGATAACATTTGAGAAAAATACTAGTCCTACATACAAGGCTTGTACTATATGTGAATATCATGTAGGAAATCAAATACATTTGTGGACTCCAAATGTAACACCAATGTTCACCGGACTTAAAATACTCATCTAAAACATAATTTATGCATCTCCCATACTAATTCATCATTAAAGTATCAAGGAAATTGGTACAACTCAATTCATCACAAAATATTGTATGTTTTATCCCACAAGTACAATGTATAAACTAATAAAGTTAGAGTTATTCATGCATATAGTATTGTGAGTTTATTCATAAAGTATATTTTGTCCATTTATATTGTGTTGTTATATTCTTTGTATTATCGTAGGGCCAATGCATCCATATAATATCATTTTTAAGACGCATTTCTTCATTTTAAGACTATTAACATGAAATGAGACGATGTAGGAGTTGATCAACATAGATTATGGCAACATTTGAGGAAAATATTAATTCTACACATGAGCCTTATACACTTATATTATTATCATGTAACAAATCCAACAAATTTATGATATCTTGTACACTTATATAAGTATCATGTATGAAATTCAACATATTCATGGCATCTGTAGTCCAAATGCAACAATAATGTTGACCAACCTTAAAATACACATCTAAAACATAATTTATGCATCTCCCATACTAATTGATCATTAATATCATGGAAATCGGTACAACTCAATTCATCACAAACTATAGTCCAATGTGTGAAACATGTAAGTACAGTGAATACACATGTGAAGTGCATGACTAGAATTGACACGGTATCTTCAAATAAACTAGAAAGTAGTTGTTGTTCATTAGTATGGTACACTTGTATTATTTATATTATTTTGTGGCAAAGTTAACCATATAAACTCAATTCATAACAAAATATAGTATCATGTGTTCAACAGGTAAATGCAATTCATCCAAATATACGGTACAATGTTTTAAATATAAAAGTACGAGTAGAGCTGACCAACAATATTGTTAGATTTATAACAAAGGACAGACTCCTGCAACTACATACACATAATTACAATTAAGAGAAAGGATAGTTTGCACCCCTGAACTATGGGATTTGTCTCAATCACCCTCCTAAACTACATAACGTAACAAAAAGGCCCCTATCATTTTGGGTCAACATTAAACAGAATGACACCGTTAAGTTTTGGGTCATTTACATTTTTGCCCTCAAATCCCCTCCGAGGAAAATCATCTATCGCTCCATCACACAATCTTAACTTCATCACTGCTCTCTCTCTCTCTCTCTCTCTCTCTCTCTCTCTCTCTCTCTCTCTCTCTCTCTCTTGTTTTTCGGTTCCTCCTAAGCAAAAAAAGATAAGCTTCTGTAAAAATCAGAATATATATTAGACTGAGAGAGGGATTTGGAGAAATGCAAGTTGTTTTAAAGTGAAAGGGGTTCAATACCAAGAACGAGAGCTCTTATTACACAATCCTCAAGTGATTTGAGGTACAAATTCAACCCTATAAATCATTACCAAAACCAAAAATATTAACATGTTCGCAATATTCCATGGATTTGGGACAAAAAATCAATTAATTGAAGTATCCCAATTTCGGGGCTGAGTTTGTTGCTGTCTTGTTCACCAGCCATATGTCTGATTACACATCACTCAGCAGCCAAAACCGCCTCACACGCGCCGAATGTCCAACCTATCTCCTGATTCTCCGGCTGCCAAATCGACTACACACTCGGTGAGCGTGGAACCACCGTCTTCGCACAATGAAGCCCCTACACCGTCTTCTCTCTCTCTCTCATTCACCATTGCTTAAGAATTGTGAAACTTCTCTTTCTTTCTGCAAAACCTATTTCTAGGCATTGAAAATTTGTGTTTATGCTAACGAGATTAGCCCAAGAATTTTCTAAATTTTGAGTGTATGAATTATGTTTGTATCTGGACAAGAAATAGAACTCATTAGATTGTTTATTGTTAATGAATTATGTCTCTATACATATCATACATGATACCGAGGGGTAAACGAGTCAAAACAAATTTAACAACAATAAAACTAATTAACAGATTAAAAGCCAACATACCACATCAGCAAGCACAAACGGATTTGAAATGGAGGGGGCGTTTTGTTACGTTTTATAGTTTATGGGTGTGTTCGTGACATACCCCATAGTTCAGGGGTACAAATTGTAATTTCTCCTTACAATTATAACAAATACAACGTACTATAAAGTTCCAATACTCTGTTTCAACACCATCCAAATGCACTAGGAATACCATTAGTGCATATGGCATATACTACGACATTATCAAGAATAACACAATAAACTTTTTTCTCATATCCTATATTAAAGTCATCAAACATCATATATCAAATCCTTGCGAGGACTAAAAATGCTTTGGGAACATGTTAATATCGCCGAAGAATAATTTCCAGGGAGAGGAAGTGTTCAAAATCGACAATAAATAAATGATCTTTGCAAACTCAAACAACAAAAAAACAGATATTGGAACCGATTTAATGATTATAGGAAACAAATAAAATCTTATTTCTTCCCCTTCATCATTCTTCGAAAATGGGTCTCTTTCCTCTTTTCTTTTTTCTTCCTCTACTACTTTGGTTCTTCCTTTTCTTTGTTCTTGTTGCTTCATATTTAGGAGTTTGTTTTCTTGCGTCTTTTCGTATCCATTTTCGTTTGTTGTTTGAAGAAAATAACAGAAAATTGAAGTGGAACGGACAAGAAAGGGAGAGAGAGAGAGAGAGAGAGAGAGAGAGAGAGAGAGAGAGAGAGAGAGAGAGAAATCATCTATACAAACGGATTATGATTTTGTTAGTGGATTTGCATCTGATTTGCTAGGAAGGTTATTAGAGAAAACAAATTGGAAAATAAGAAATGAAGAAATACTAATCATTAATATTAAAAAAATTACAAATATGTTATTAAGGTTTTTTAAGTTGCCTATTATATAATCCAATTCTGTAATTTTTTTGTTTTTCATTCAAGTCTGAGTCAGTCAAATCTCTACAGATTACAAGATTTACAGCCCATGAATAATGAAGTATGCTCACTCAAAAAAGGAGAAAAAAAAAAACAGAAAATAAAGAAAACCCAAACTACCCGACCCGATTTTTCGGGTACCCGACCGGTAGGTACCCGACTGTGTCGGGTTCGAGTAATTTTTTTTGAAAACCCGATAGTGTCGGTACCCGACCCAAATAACCCGGTACCCGATAGACACGGCCACGGGGCGGGTCCGGGTCCGGGTCCAAACAGGTTTTTTAACTTTTTTTTTTCAAATAATTACAAGAAAGAAAAAAAAAACTTAAATCGAAACTTGAAAAAAATTGAGATTAACTTTAGATTCTACATTAAAAAAAATTGAATTTAAACACAAAACAATTTTAGAAAAAAATGAAACGATTAAGACCTTGAGACATAAACTCAATAAAATGAAAGCTGTGAATATTTGATTATGGGTATTTATAAGTGAAACTAATAATTGAGAAATTTTCCAAAATTTCAAAATTTATAAGAAAACTCAAAATTCAATCTTTCTTTTAAATTAAATCATATTTTTTTATAATTTCCAAAGCTATATATATATATATATATATATATATATATATATATATATATATATATATATATATATATATATATATATGCATTGGTTATTAGTCGATATTTTTTATATTAATAATAGTCCACATGACAATTAATAATTTATAGAACATTAGTTATACAATTATGAGGAGCATTTGGCAGTGGTTATTGAGAGTGAGAGATGTATAATTAGGATTATTATAACAAGGAATATATATATAAGATAAACAAAAGATGTAAAGTAATTATAATAAATAATGTTAAATAGATTATTAATTCTCATATTCATTATTATTAAATTACTAACAAATATAATATAATAAAAAAGAAATTGAAAAGACTTGAGCTTAATCCATTTAAAACTTACGATTCGATTCTAATATTTGAATAAAATGTAAATGTAAAAAAAGATGATTAAATTATATGATCTGCGATTTAATTCTTACGATTTATACAAATTAAACCAATTATTAAAAGAGAAATCACATCATAATATTTTGATTATACTCGTCTTATATAGTTTTATTTTTAAAGTAAGAAATTAATTAGAATGAGATATAATCTATTTTTGTTAAAATAAACATCATCTATATTTTAAATAACTATCTTATGATAAAATAATCAATGATTTTAATAAGTTCTTGTCAACAATTGATGTCAATCGATTTAAATTTATTGAAATGAGTTATAATCTATTTTTTTAAATAAACATCTTATTTTATTTTTCATTCGAATTTTTCACACTATCGATTTTATTAACATAAGTGAATTAATTCAATACTTTATTTTTTCAATAGTGGAGAGTATATTAATATAGTAATTAATAATAGATGTTATGAAGTATTAAACCGTGATTTTATATTTTTTTAAGTTTCTTATATTGCATTTTATAATAATCAAATTAAAATTATTTAATAATAACTAATATGAAAATTAATAAATTATTTAATATATTTATCATTTACACCAGCAGTTTATATTATACATATATATTTATTGTCTACATTTAATCAAATATGTTGGTTGGCCGAGTGGTAAGAATTGCATTCTTCCTAGTTTCCCGAGTTTGAACCCCACATGTGCAATTTTTGGAAAAAAAAAAACCGGAAATTCCGGGTTTAATTCTGGCTCGTCCAATCAGAATAAGCAATTAAATTATCAAGAAAATAAAAATTCTCGCTTGTTGCTCTTTTTTCTGTATATTTGCTGCCCTAGGAGTCTTCATTTTGGAGCTTGTTCTTGTCGTTAATGTTTTTGACTTTTTTCCAATGTTTTGAAAACCGGACCGGACATTGAACCGGCTAGTCAACTGGGTCACGGTCGAACCGGTTCAACCGGGGTCCAACCGGGTTTTTGAATATTTTTTATTTTGAATTATTTGTGAATAATTATAATATTATTATCTTTTCAAAAATATAATTTAATAAATTTATTCGTCATAAAAATTCAATACAATAATATTAAGCTAATTTTGAATTAATTTATTGAACATCTACAAAAAAGAAATAATTTAATTAACTAAATTTATTAATATATTTAAATAGTTTTTATTTATACCTATATTCTGTTTTTTTTCTTTTCATATGTCATGAATTCCTCTCTCTCTCTCTCAAAACAGACACATCACAAACTCCAAAGCACCCCAGCCACCTACCCCACGCCAAAATTCTTTTTCTTTTCCTCCTCCATCTCGTCTTCTTCTTTCTTCCACCATTGTAGAACTTATATCCAGATCGGAGCAACAGCCCTTCGTCTATTTCAGCGGCAAACTTGACTGTCTTTTCTCTTTTTCTTCTTCCTCTATCATCTTGCTAATCAGATCTATATACATTTTTTTTTAAACTCAGTCAGATCTATAAATTAATTGTCTTAAAATTTCAGTTAGTGACGAAACCCGGGTTTTTTCCGGTTCGGGATATTCCGGTTCAACCAACGGTTTTCCAGGTCTTTCGCCTTCCGACCGGTTTTTTGGAGCATCCGAGTTTTCATGCTTAACCGGACCGGACTGGCTTCCGGTTCCCGTTTGAACCGGTCGGACCGGCCGGTCCGGTGCGGTTTTAAGAACATTGCTTTTTTCCCTATGGGAATTGCTCCAATATTGAAATTTTGTGTTAAGGGTTTGTATTGTTTAAGTTGCGTTTTTAACCCCGATATGTAGTGCTATCCTATTCTGGACACATTATTCGATATCTTTTATTTACATTGTAGGGCTGAAAAAAAAATACTAAATACCGATTACCATGGTATATCTATAACTAAATATTGAAAATAAATACCGAACTACTATTTACCACTATATTTCGTACGGTATTGATACCGCACCATTATTTTGTATTTTAAAAATTAATTAATATATATTTTCTTTTATATTGTTAAATAAATAAATATAATCAACAAATATTAAATTATAATCAAAACAAGAATAAATATATATATATATATATATATATATATATATATATATATATATATATATATATATATATATATATATATATATATATATATATATATATATATATATATATATATATATATATATATATATATATATATATTCACACTCATAATTATGGTCTTATTTTCTTCATATATTTATGCAAACACATTATTCACTTCTTGCTAAAATTGTTTTTGTTCACGTACTTCTTTAGTTTCAAAGTCCAATTAATCTTTTATTGTTGGACTTTTTGTAACAATTTTCTTCTTTTTTCAACCCGTGAGTTCCGAACCTCTTGTTTCTTTAGCATTGTAGCATTTTTTTTTTCTTTTACTTCAACTATAAAACTATCTTACTCATTATCAGTTTATATATATCTTTTATAGATCTCTTCGTAAGCATTAGTTATCTCATGCAAAATTAGATTCAAATACGGTCGTATAATGTATATTTCCTTAGATTGCTTAATTGCCCATCGTTCCGGAATCCGTAACCAGAACGGTGTTTTCATCGTGACTCATCGGAACGCCGAGAAATCAGTGGGATGGGCGAGACGGAGCCACGGAACGGCCCCGACGCAGCCAGAACGGCGCTGGAACGGCATCGGAACGGGAAAAAAAGAGTTTGAAAAAAAACACAAAACAAATTTGACTAAAAAAATAAGGAAAAAACAAACATAAAAGAAAAAAAAATAATAATATGATGGTGATGGCCACGTTACAGAACGGAAATTTTCCTGAATCACAGATCTTTGGCCTCACTCTTCAATTATATCTTACACAATTCCAGCTCGGTATTCTACTTGATATTAATATAATATTCTTTGTAATATTTATTTTTTAAATTGTAATAATATTTTGTATATTATTGAATTGTAATATTGTTATTAAAAGTATATTTGAAATATATTATATATTTTTAAGAATTTAATTAAAA